GAGGAATGTGGGTCAGCTGTTTGAGGTTAGCCCGCCACCAGCGACCAGCGGTCCGATCAGACTGAGTACTATATCAAATGAACCGTGTCCGTTACTCTGTCAAGACGTGCGATTGACAGGGGAAGTGCAGCTTTGTATGCAACAAGCGCCGTCCGACGTCCGACTCCGACTGGCGGGAATGGTAAAGTGGAAGTGCAGCAGGTTTGTAGATATAAGTGGCACAGAGGAACTGTTTGTTTATAATTTCATCGATACAGTATTTAAATGTGTACAATCCAAAGCTACACAATGAGAAGATTCCATTGTAGCATAGATTAAAAGAAGTAGAAGTGTCTATACTCCTTTTATCTATGATTGTAGTTTGGAGACAAAAGGCCATCTAACCTAATCAAGAATAACCCACAATGAGCCCAGTATGCCAGCCATAATATTACTGTCTGATGATAAGGCTGAAATAATTCGGCGTTGTTATATAATAAAAAAAAAACACTCCTTGAGAAAAAGATATTTCTCAATATATATTTAATACTGTATGGACAGAGTAAATGTTACTCGTTTTGTACTTAAGTCATTTTTTGTTGGGTTAAAGTGAGTCATCCTGAACTTAATGTTTTGTTTCAAAAATTTCCGAAAATCACGAATTCATAAAGGAGGAGGTTAGAGTTATTTTAATGTCCAAAACCAGATGTCAACTTTCTATTCCATGTACAGTTTTTATAAGATCGGGCTCATATTATTTCATCGGTATGTTATCTAAATATTCATTCGTTTGGTAAAAATGTCGATATTAAGTTTATAAAAAAGTACCACTGTTCACATTTGTTTTGAATTAGTTCTGACGTGTACGTCAGCATGACAATAATTGAAATTCTTCAGTAGCTATCAAAATATTTTTCAGACACATCGAATCAACCCCCTTCCCTAGAACCACGACTTTGTCGGATCCATACTGTAAATACAACCCCCCCTCCCTAACCATAATATTATACATCACACAATCGTCCACACAGATCGTAACTTTCTTGATAGCGATAAAGATCTGAAAACGTTCGCAATCAATCGCGAACGAGTTGCTAAATTGAATTCCAAGTCGTGCATAATCCCACGGGCGATAATTACAGCGCCGCATTGCGAACCTGGCCGCTCACCTGCCGCGCACATTACAGCGCATGCCTAGTGCGTTACCGGCGTTACCGCGCATGCGCTGTACACATCGCCATAAACCGGTTGTCGGCGTGATAGGTTGTGAGAACGTAGATAGGCCGCCCACTGCGATGTACGTAGGTTTCGATTAGCAATACAATTGTTGGCGTTTGTCTTGTTTAAAGCTCGTTCCTATGATAATGACTTCACGTTACAGGTTGTCACTTCTCCAAGGCGATAACTCCCAAACGCATTACGACGATTCAACTCGCAGTTAGTGTTGCACGCTAAATGTAATGTGAGAATTAGTAGTTAACAGAGTTGGCAAAGGGAAATAGTCAAGTTGAGTGGTTAAATTGTTCGTTTTTCAGAGGGTGGCCGGTTTCATAATGACAAAAGTCAGTAGCTTTTTTATGATTCAAAACTTTTCCTTGACCATTGACTATTAGATACTGAAGTTACAAACTATTTACACTACGCGTATGCTGTATGCATTGTGTGATGTATATGAGTTCTGTATCGTTGGTAACTGACAAAGCCACCGGTGCACAAGAGCACAAGGCGTCTATTTCATTCTATGATTCTACCCTCTCTACTCATTTCAGTTTGGACTACTATACAACTTGTATAGCTGGTTTTATGAACTAATCAATTATTATAAAAACTATCCTAATTGGTGACAGCTCTTTTTGCCTATTTCCTATCAATATTTTGCATAATAATATCAACAAGATTGACAAAGGTTGAGACAGGGATGAACAAGTTAGTTCAGTATTGGAAACCCCAATTTTTATTCGGCATTTACTTCTAGTCTGATTGAATGTGGTGTTTTTAAAAATAAATCTTACTGTAACTGATGGTTTGCTTTAATTAACTATAGACAGATATTTTATTTGTGTTGCACATTATTACAGCATCTAGTACCGCAATGCATTATGCATTTTTGATGCAAGCTGATGGATTGCATTACGTAAGTGGTAAAGAACAACAGGTGTTAACATTGCTAATCAGTCTCCCACGTCCACATGGGAACACTTTCTACTAGGATTTATCCCGACGTGAGACGTTGAGACGTCAACGTGGGAATCGCGGTGGGAAACAGGAACATCCCAGGAACCGCTAATTACAACAGAGTACATTTCAAAGAAATAAACGTCTGAGCAGACAAACAAAAGAAACTTATGCAAGGGCGTATTGAAGGACTAAAGGGGCAATAAACCTTATTTTCAGGAAACAACCTCTTCTTCTAAAGAATTTATTGTGTTTTACACGAATTATAATAATTTACAAATCTGAAAGCTACATGCATTTAGGATACAGTACAGTGCAATCGATAACGTTCTAGCTAAGCTCTAGCAGTAGAAACCGTTGGTAGAAACTGGAAGAAAATACCGTATTAACATCTGTTGATGGAGACGTGCACGATCTTGCGACGATGTAGAAAATATACTCCATATATACCTAACTGGCGAATAAATATACACCAATTTGTTACCAAGATATTTTTGCTACTACAGCTCCCGAACCTTTCTTCTGAGTGCACCTAAGCTCGGTAGCCATACTATTCATACTTAATTGGTAGGAGATTCAAGCATTGCTCAGAATGGAAATTATAAATCCGTTTCAGAGTCGTGTTTTTCTGTGCAAAATTTCGGAGATACATACGGATCCTGATCGTACACGTTCATTCGGAGCTGAATGTGGCGTGGCGTAACGTGATAATTGGCAAAATTATGTTTATGACATTTTATTTCATAATACCGTACTGTAACTACAAAATGTGACAAATTCAGGCTCAGTAACGTTGGTTAACTAAGCGTATTCGGAGCAGTTTTTTCTCTGCTCGGCATATCCTGCAGATCCTAAACCGTGAGTTGTCTGTGGTTAGACGACTGATCTGGTTCAAGCAGAGGGCGAGAAGGAAAGTGACACTGATGTTCAAGCAGCGGAGAATCTCCAACTACAATCAACATCCCAACAGACAACATCCCAGCAGACAACAGACAGACAACAAGCGATGGACGAGGAAGGGCGAAGTGTAACGGATGTCCGGACGTTGGACACGGTATTTCCACGAGCGGCGGATTGAAAGTAATTCAATCGATCATTCACGGCGAACTCACAACAATATGGAACAATACCCCCGTGGCAGCAAACCTGCGTACTCGGACAATTTCTTGTTGCTTTATTGGCGTTCTACTCGAGCATACTGAACCTTGTCTTATAGGATAGTGACGTACACTCTTAGTACGAACGCATATGCAGAGTGACTACAGTACAAAGACGTTCATAAAAGAAAATGTACACAGGTCCAAGCTCAGTGTGAATACCATCGGACCAATGAACTTAGGATGCCTACGAGGCAATCAAAACAAAACAAACATATTGCATTCATTTTGTTTCATTGAGGATGACGGGGCGAAAGAACGTATTTAGTGCGTTCAGCCACAGACTACAGATAGAGTAACGCTACTATAGGTTCAGTATTTTAAATATTTTCGTACTGCACATTTTACAAGAACTGAATGGTGCAAACGATGCATTTAACAACTTTTAACATTGAAATAATAGACCTACAACTTTTTAGGGGTTTCTTTCTTCTCGTTTGATTGAAAATTGTGTTTCCTTCAAGACAAACTTACTGTTATTGAAGGTAAGGTAAAATCCCAGATTTAGGAGTATTTTGAGGGATTTTTTTCTATTTGGTTGAGTTGACCTGCATACCCAACGATATAAACGTTATACCATGAGAATCGAAGCCATTATTTTTGTGTAAATGACACTTTCTTACAAAAGTACGAATTTGTGTTAAGAATGTCTAGATGAACGTGTTTGTCATTAGAGTTTGTCCGCTTTTGTCCAACAATCAAAGTAACGTTTAATCACATTTTACCTCTGCAAGGTCTCGACATTAAATACTGTAGTCCATATTATAGAGAAAGTCGTTTCATATTTTCTCAACATTAATCTATACGCAATTTCAATCATAAATCATCCTAAGCGTAATTGTAGCTTGCAGATTGTAGTAGAACAGGGTTCCAAGGTAATCGGTTCCCATCCAAACAGGTCTGGGTCACGCATGCATATTCGTGCATACCGAGATTGCGAACACGAGATGAAAATGGCACTATTTGATGTTAACATCTGGGATGGCACAACATGTCTATACGAGTAACATCAAAATTATACAGTGATATTATTAAATTTACCCGCAACTCATGCACCACTAAACTTGAACAAAACCTAAACTCTTATCTTTATTTACGACTTATTATCTTTAATGTTGTAAACTTCGGACACTGCTTCGTCCACTACGACTCGTATTTAAACTAGTCCACTGCCCGTTGCGCACTAAATAGTGTCTATAAATTCAGGGCCAATAAAATTTGTTAGTCAAAATAACTAATGGCAGGGAACGGCACGCTGGGCGTATTGTTTATACGCCCATACGCACCGACCTTTCGCAACTGTTACTACGAACGTTTTCAGTGTCAACCGTAGGCACAGCTGACATCCCGAGGTACGATAAGCGTATTGCACAATGTATTTGCTAATCTGCTACTGCGTACCGAAGATATGTCTTCGAGATTCAATCGAGCTGACAGAATTTCATCTCGACTCCAAACAATGTGCTGTAGTTTAAGCTTAAACTGGCTGTCACTATATACCACTTGCCTTATATATAAAGCCTTGTCGTGTAAGGTGCAAGTCACATCAGCAAGTCAGTGGTACCAGCAGTGCCATAGTGCAGGGGGCTAGGCCAGAACCAGCAATGTATGGCTTATCAACCCGTTTCGCTATTAACTATCGTGATAAGTACTTCAAACAATCAGGACACAAATTAAAATTACACTCACCCCTGAGAGGTGCGGGTTTGGCGCCTTGGGCGGTTACTGGGCGTCGCTGGGCGGGCTTGCGGACGGGCGACCCCTTCAATTCAGCCACCCCCACTGGGACCACGGTCTTTTCTGTGGAACAAGAAAAATTGTAAGGTAGGATAATATCACACCATGTTCGTAATCAACACATGTTCAAGATGTCATATAGCAATGTTGTTGATGTTCAAGCGCATGTCTGCCTCAGTTGTGGAAGAACGTGTTATGGGTTATGATCGCTGAAATACTCTCGATAAAAAGTGTCATTTTTATCCCTAAACACATGTGATTGTAAACCTCGATATGAAGTCCACCTTTATAGCATGTCTTCTTGAACAATCCCCACGAGAGTTTTGTTGTCAATGTTCTTCTGCACAGGGTTTCGATACGACACCGGGTAGACAAGACAAGCTGTCAGTTTAGCTGTTAAACAAATATTAATCCTAAAATGAAAATAACAATTTTGGCAGGCCTATAATAACGTATTTCACGGGAATTTTTTTTTCTTCCATTATTCTAATACGGTAGTCTAGGATTTGACAGATTAGGGAAATCAATATAAGTTCATATTAGGCTATTAGACTTTTTCTATCAAAACTCACTCTACCGAAATGCAAACAGAAATCGAAAATATACACTGCTAGCTGTGTGATAGCGATAAAACAGATTTAAGTCAGACAACCCGAGACCAAGTCAATTTACAACGACCACTTTGTACGTTCCATACAGGGCGACTCTTTATAGCGGGAAAGTCGACGTATAAACACGGGCTACGCTCTCGCCTCGGTGTATGCAAATTGTGCTACGATTTTGTGGAGAAACTTGCAAAATGTACGCACACCCAGGAGGCATAATTTCGCATAGTATGTTATATAGTTTGGAGTATACGGTGATGGTGTCAGGTGTGTGCTGTGCATAACATGTGCGAGTCTAAGTGTAACGTATCTGCTATAGGATTAATTGAATTAATTCACTTTAAACTTACAGAATATCATTACTTGAACAAATTCGCGTGGTGGGTTACATAAATAAAATATTTTTTACAATAACGATAATGATTACAGCGTAGCTAATTATAGAGATTTGAGGAAAAAACAAAAGAGTAATAGCAAAAGAGGTAAAAAAGTCCTCGAATAAACGAGAATCGATGTGAATCAGAAAATAATTATGTACAATCACGTGACAAGGAAGATAATTGTGATTAATTCCACAGTTTAGGATTGTAATTTTAAACAGTGACCGTATTTTCTTATCGAAATAAAGACTTTTTATCTCAACCTGATTTATTTCTTCAGACCTCAGTTATTTGTTATAATCACCTTCCGTTCTTGATCTTTAGAAGAATCTTAAAACTGCTGTTTATGTTATTTATTGCCTCTTGTGAAATTTTCTCCCATATCATGTTAATTTTATATTTCTTTTCCTAAAACCTGACCCACGCAGCTCTGTGTTTAAGCTCTATGTAATAGCTCTGTGTACTATGTTCATTATAGTATTTTGATGTATGTCCACCCGTCGCCGTGTCCGGTAATCCTTAAAATGGGGTCTCAGTGAAAAACAGTTTGTCTTTTAGTAATTCTTTGATGCCAACTTTTTTTCAAAATAGGACTTACCATGTTTAGTAGGTTGTGTTGCAGTTTATAGTATGGTGTCTGAAATGAATATCATTCATTTGTTAAATCGGGAAGGGGAATAAGACAAATCTAACTTGGCGCTGCCTATGTTTTTCTTAGACTTGGAAATTGCAAGGATCTTTGTCCAAAAACAACTGACTAAAACATACACGACTATAGGTCGGCCGTTTAGAAAACGACCTGCGCGAAATTTTTAGCGCATGTAGGGGAGGTAACGGCGAGGGAGGGTACGTTCCCCCTCTCCGCCAATTGCTGTTTTCACAAAATGTGTGCATAGTGACGTCACGTGCTAGCTGAACGTGTTTTATTTTACCAAATCATATGTTTTCTTGTAGTTTCCCAAAGACTTTCGAATGACAATCATTACGAATTAGCATTGAATATATAACACTATTTAGCGTTTTATATCCAATATAGTGTTGTATTCAATATTGAATATAGTCATAGTGTTATAAAGTACAGGGTGTGGCAAAAAACCGATCCATTTTCTGCAAAGCACTGTTCAGCGACAGGTTGTCTGAAAGTGGTGGGAGTAAGCTCGTTGGAAAGTCTACACAATGCCATTTTTTCTAGTCACAGAGCAGTGGTCGCCTGAGCTACGAGAGGTTGTTATGGAGTTGTTTTGAAAAAGTATTGAATTCATTCATTGCAACTCAGCAGCATAAGCAGTTTCGTGCGTTCTTTCAATTAACACTACTATTACACTAGTATACCAACTATACTCATCCCTCAGTAACAGAGTAGTGTGACGGTCGGTAGGGAACGTAAGGCGACATGGAGAAGTTCCGTTGCATATAACAATAATGCGGTGGGTTACTAACTTTAGAACAACGGCTTCTGCGTTGAAAAGGAAGCTGAAAGGCCGACCAAAGTCAGATCGGATGCCAGACAATAAACATTCGACAGAGTTCGTACTGCTGTGGAAAACAGTCCCTCGCAGGCCCGCCCGAAAACAAGAGGCTTGCCGAAAATGTCTGACTGCTCAGTTACACGAATTTTAAGGTTAATTTTCATCCCTACAGATTAGTTAGAATAATAATCTGTTTAATGGTGTTATCCATACAGATAATCACGACGGAACCTTTTTTGCAGCTCCTACTTATGTTTGATATAATTGAAAATCTCTCATTTAAGTAGCATTAGTGGAAAATAAATAGTTACAAATAAATTGACAAGATTCTTTTTACATATATTTAACAAAAACAGCACAAAACGACATATAGCGTAAGTTGTCGAGATTTTATTACACTAAAATGACATACACTAAACCCAAGCACTAAACTACTAAACCCGTAGGATCCCCTCGGACTATGGTTTTTCTTAATAACTTCAAAGATTTACTAGACGCTTACCGAATGGCCTCTCTCGTTTTAAGAAGTGGAAAATCATGACCACAGCAAACAATCACGAATACAGGACCCACCGCAATGGCTGTTGCCGCGATACGGCCAATCATCACGAATCTCGCCGCGATTAAGATATGGCCGCAATCACAAAGAGTCATGAAAGCTGAGATAATCGCAGGAGATTATCGCGGATGTTGCCACGATTGTGTAAGACGCATATAACGTGATTGCAATTATAATGGCGTTGCCACCAACGATCACACATCTTAGTGACGGCCTTTTAGTGAATTTCCTATAAAGGGTATAAGCTATTACCGTAGTACTCATGGTAATACCTCTGGACCCAGGATGGCTAGGCGTATAAAAGAAGGTGTGTGCACGCACATCCCCCACCCCTCCAATCAGCCAATCAAGTATTTACTGCTTTACTGTTTTTCGGTTAAATGGTACCATATAACTGTACAATATAACTAACTGTAGTAGTGTTATATTGTATAACACTACTACAGTATATTCATTCAATGTTGAATACAACGCTATATTGGATATATAAAACTAAATAGTGTTATATATTCAATGCTGATTCCTAATGATTGTCATTCGAAAGTCTTTGGAAAATTACAAGAAAACATATGATTTGTTAAAATAAAATAATGGGTGATGGTGGGGTGGTAGCGGAGTGGGGGAAGAGCCATATTCTGTCTCACTCCCACAGCTCGGTATCTCTCTCTCGCACCAATGCTACGAGGAGGACGCTTTCTAAGCGGCCGACCTATAATGTTCCCTCTCAGCTCTAAAACGTCCAAACAATACATAATCTCACCATGGTACTTCCCGAGCAGTAACCTCTTGACGAAGAGAACCAGAACCAACATGCTGCACACGCTAGACACCCACAGTCCTGTAGACACCCCGACTGCCTCACACCATCTACACTTCATCTTGACTTCACACTTCAACACATACTGTAGTCACACTGTTCATCAATGTAGACCGGACACTTCGGGTGCGGCGGTAAGGTCCCGGTACTTCCATTGGAAACGTTGTATCAGTAATTTTGAAGACGATTGGACCATCTATGTGTTTGAAAACTTGTATAAGGCTAAAATGTTGCTCTGAAAACGTAATGAAATTCAATTTTGCATCTACACGGACACATTGAAATAATTATGTAAATTTACGTCCAACTGTATAGATTTATTTAGTTCGTAAAAAGTTATTATTGAGGATGACGATGGAGAACTATAATTTAAGTGAAGGACGAGTGTAGAATGAAGTGATAGTACTTGTGTAACTTCGTTTACTGACTAAGATAAGACGTTCATTTAGCCAAAGCCGAGACTATTCATTGCAAGACTCACTAGCTAAGGACATCTGGGTCCAAACCATGAAGCTAAAAAGATTTTATCAGTATCTAAACTGTTGGCCGTCTCATTGAGTTTACACACAACACACCCTTTTTGATTATGATTTTCCCATTCAACCACTACAAACGGATGATTTGAACATAAAATTTGACACTCCTCTGACAAAATCTGCATCTTTAATCAAACCGGTCTCTACAAACTGCACGTGGGTGTTGAACTGTTGATACTTTCACTGGGAAGACCTCTACAACGACATACTCGCAACGTGATTCCTTTACATAAGCGGATACAAGACTTTAATTTAATTTGACCTGCCTCCTAGCAGTACAGTACTGTAGAGTCGAAAAGGTAATACAGTAGTTTACCTTATTCATAAGAATATTGCGGAAATTCCCCATAGAAAATTGGTAAAAAAACAATATTTTCGTGACGTTTCGTAAATCTGTAATCTGACCCCGTCCTTAGGTGCAAAACTTCCAAATCTTAAAAAGGTTTTTTTTTTTACCGATCGTGATGACAAAATCCCGTAATTGGCCTACTCTTTTGGATGTAAAATTGTCAACACCAATCATGAAATTCCAACATTTTAATGCCTAACAGTTGATGCTTCAATTAAACATGAGGTGTCCTTTACTTGTGTCTATCAGGCTAGAATTTTTACAACCCTAGAAATCTTTATGTTGAGTCATAATGGAACATTTTGCCCACTGTTTTGCAGTTCTCACACTGCAATCATAATACTGAAG